AAAACAGGTAGCGAAAAGCGGGTAAGAAGAAAGATAGCTTTAAGAGCTTTCAGATTAAAACTTATTGATTATGTGTATATGTATATATGTATATCTGATATATATTTATATTTTATTTGTTATAGAGGAAGTCACGACATCGTCTGCATGGCTGACGGCACTTGTACAAGGTTTTTCGAATTTGTTCTGTGTACTTTCACCCGAAAATGTTCCTAAACAAAGTCAGTTATCAATTACAGTGCATGACATGCTAAAAGAACCTGTTCGGCATGCATATTGTCGTGCCTTTTTTTTATGAATTTGCTTGCACAATTCATTTCACAATGAAAAAAACTTCCAGCTTTGGCATTCAATAAATTAGCGACTTTTGCTGTGCGAATGTCTCTCTCAGTGTGTGCGTGTGTGTGTGCGTGTTTGTTGTTGTGCGTATACGCAATATTCGCAACAGCTGCTCCAACAAACGGGATTATCCAGCGTTCGACTACAATGGCCAATGCCAACAGAAGAAAAATAGCAAACAAAAAGAAACCGCAACAAAACGAAACGGAATCAAACAAATTTTTCAGACTTTGACCCAGACATGAGGCCGAGATTAGCGTGTGAGTGAGACAGTGTGGGTGTGTGTGAGACTATATACATATATGTGTGTAAGTGTGATATATAGTGCAGCTGTCTTGGGGTTCAAGTTTTTATTGCGTTGCGATTCCGTTCTATTTTATTTAAATTCTAAGTTTCTCCGTTGATAGTTAAGCTCAGCTAAAGATATGGCAAACATATATCTAGGCCTAGCAGATCGGAAAAATATATACATGTATGGTATGTACGTGCTTATGTACCGCTGCAGAGATCTAAACAACTTTTCAAGGTTCACTCTAATCGCGCATCTGCTTCTAATCTGGCGGCTGGTCATGTGGGCGTCTGATACAGGTGCCGTTTCGTGATATCTGCTGAATATGTATCTATATATGTCTATATGTGTGTGCGCATATGCTCATACGTATATAAATGAACTCAATTTTATTCCACACCATTGATAAGCCCGGTCAGAAGCAGAAGCCAGACGCTTGATAAGCAAAAACAACAAAAAATTGTATTAAAGAGAACGAACCATGACAGCAACAATAATAATAGTAATACAATAAGACCTTGCTCATTGTTGTTATTGCTCTTCTTGTTGTTGCTTTTGTCTGCACCAGCTTGGTCGCGTCAGATGTTTAATTAGCTTTCGATTAATTTATTGCTTTAATTGTTGTTAGTTATTGCCCTTGCATTTCATTGTCTTTTCAAAGAGACAACAAAAAACTTTCTTGGACTCTATAAATTTCTCAGCTCCGTAACATTCTAGGGCTAACACAATTTCAGTTGACTCGGTTTTGTTTTTATAAGAAGTATAAATTAAATTATTATAAAGATTTTAATCACATACTTTGAGACACCTTTCGAATTAACAACTTTCATAAAGAATCACTTTTTAATTAATTATGGAATCATTATAAAATTATATACGTCACACGTCAGACTACCCGTTTGATCAGTTTTATTAGGTAGGCAATCAATTTCAGTGAACTGAAAATCCGGGTTCAAAATTCTGAGCGAGATCTTGGTCGACGGTCAAAGCAGACGTTAAATTTAAATAAATTAGGTACACTTGTTTTAAATTGCGAAAAAGGTATAATAAATTATGATCATAATAATGACAATGACAATAATGTTAATAATCATAATATTGACAATGATAATGCCAATGATAATGAGAATAATAATTATAGTTTGCCAATGACAATGACATTGGTATTGACAACAATAATGATAATGATTATGCTAATGACACAGTTAATGGTCATGAATATAGCAATATCAATAGTAATGATGATGGTAATAATAATGACAATGCCCATGTTAATGATAATGACAATGGTAATGCTAGACTTGCAATGGATATATAATAAAATTCTAATTATAATACTAGCAATGATAATGCTAATAATAATAAGCAATATAAAATGAATTTCCTAATTGTTATCTTAACAATATAAAGCGATTATTAGAATGACTAAATGGCAATGAAATAATAATAAAAAATACTGATAATTTGCAATACATCTAGCAACTAGATTTCCTAGTCTATAAAATACTTTGAATTAGTTGCTCGTCGTTTAGCTGGAGCCAAAAGTGTTGGCTAGACTCGAGAGCAGCGAATGTGTCTGGTAGCCGAGAGTTCACCGTAGCTGATTGCGCGACCCTACGCACACAAGGCTGACGACACCTACAGCCTAGCTGAAAAGGTTCCCTCTCTTGCTCCCACTCTGTCCCTCTCCCTCTCTCTCGCTCGCTCCATCTGTGTGTGCGAGCACGTGTGTAGCTATGTAGGTATGTAAGCAGAGCCCCAGTCAAGACGTAGGAGCATACCTAACATAGGCAGAGACAGAACCAGAAGCAAAAAAAAAAAAAAAAAAAAAAAAAGAAAAGAAAAAATAACAGAAACCGAGCCACTTCCTTAGCTCTAGCTTACGCATGGGTTCATTGCACGGAAGTGATTTGCCTACCAAGAGAGCGGGAGGTAGAGCAAAACGAGAGAGGAGAGAGACAGAGAGAGAGTGAGAGAGTGAGTAGAGCTGTGTGGAGCGAGTGTGTGAGCTGTGACTTGGACTTTTGTTTAGTTCATGCTCTCGCTACGGCTGCCCATGCTATCTACGATTTGCGCTAGATCGAAAAAAAAAAAACACTAGCACATGGAAAAGCACTGGGAACTAGCTCAAAACAAGCAGCTGACATTTTCGTTAAGTTTAAACTAAGAGTTTTTCCTGAATAATATCCAAATATCTGGCAAACAACAAGTGGCTGACATACATAACACAGATAAAGCTCTTATTATATACATATAAATGTATTTGCATATATATGCTTACATATTTATGCTCTATATTTCATTGTTGTCATATTTTGTGAGCACACGCCCCCACAAGCTATACACGCCCAAATTAGCAAAAAAAAAAAAAAAAAAAAAGGAAAATAAATAAATCTATAGAAAATAAACTAAAAATTTCGAAAAAAAAAATCAAAAATTTTTTTTTTAGATTCCAAATATTTGTGCTTTTTGTTATTTATTGCTACATTTTTTATGACAGCCACAAAAAATAGCTGAAGGGTTTTTAAAGAGCATTCAAAAATTGCTTTCTACAGTAAATGCACGCTAAATAGTATTGGCAAATACAAGAAATGGAAATGTAGTTAAGGCAATGAAAACATTATAAAAAGTTATAAGATGTATTCAAATTCATTAGACAATATTAAAGAGTTTTTACTATAACTTTTGTTTGTTTATACTATAATTTATTTAGGAATTTGCTATTTTATTTTTGATGAATATTTATGGTTCAGTTTCACTTAAAGAGCTTTTACTGTATTTGAATATTTATATATGACTTTTTGTCGAAAATGCGGCGTTGATTTCAAAATTTATTGCATTTATGTGAACAGTGGACATTTTCTATAATTTTTGTCTTTTTCTGTGACTGGATGTTTGCCGCTGTTGCTGTTGTTGCTGTATGTGTGAGTGTGTGAGGTTGTGTGTGTGTGTGTGTGTGTGTGTGTTTTGACAGGAAGTCGCCGGAATGCGTTTCGCTAAGAGAATGCGAATAGTCGACTCATATCATAAGTATAATTAGGTAGTTGCCTTCTAGTTTGTTGTTGTTGTTGTTGCTGCCCATTAAAAACGCCAAATTTTTTGTTTGTATTTTTGTTTTTCCGCCCGCTACACTGACGTCGAAAATAATGCACACACACAGTGTGTAATAGCAAGGTAGAAAAACAGAAATGAATTTACGTTGCTCACCTTTATGATTAATTGTTGTCGTTGTTGTTGTTGCTGCTGCTGCTGCTCTGTTTGCGATTTTGTTATTGTATATATGTATATAGATGATTTTTACAATTTGTTTAGGAATTTCGTTAGTTATTTATAATTTACAAATTATGCTTATATTGACTTTTTGCTACACACATTTACACACACATACACGCACACACAGAATTTGATTAAAATTATTATTTATTTTGTATGATTTTCTTTTTGATTTGATGTGAATTTAACTAAGCACACTTTACATGCTATGTTATGTATATGTACATTAACAGGGTTGTTATTGTTGTTGTTGTTGTTAGTGCTGCGACTGCTGCTGCTGTTGTTGTTGTTGTTACTGTTGGTTTTGTTGAGGTTTCGCTTGTAATTTGCAATGCTGCTGCTGTTTGTTGTTATTGAAATTATTTTGTTTTTATATTGTAGGAATGATTTGAGTAGAGGAACGCTAGCTACATACGTATATTTCTATATGTATGTATTATATTTATATATATTTGTATAACTGTTTATATATATATATATTGTAGATGTGTTTAGTTATTTATTCTCTTCAGGCTGCTGCTGTTGCTTGGTCGGACTGCTTAACATGTGAATAATCTATATAGTAAACATGTATTATTTCGTACTACATGTGTAAAAGATTGTGCATTTCTTGTGTTGTATATTTTTGTAATGCGACGATTTTTTGGGTTTTTCTGTTTTGCGCGCGGACAACGACGGCGACAACGAAACGAACTGAGACGCACGCAAAGTTACACTGCGGCCAACTTGAATGTTCCATATGAAAGGTATATGGCAATGCTTGAACATTCGACGCCGCGTCATCTATGTGTGTGTGTGTTGTATCTGTGTGTCGTTCGCTCGCTCGCTCGTGCTCTCTGGCAAGCTGTTTCGCTCTCTGTCTGGCCGACTGGCTGGCTGTGTGCGCGCGCTGTAAATCAGACAACAATTGTTTTGCGCTTTTCGCCACAGCTACAGCAACAGCAACAGCAACAACAACAGCGGCAGCAGCAGCAGCAGCAGCAGCAGTGATGGCGACAGGAACAACAACAATAATTATTAAAATAAAACGCAGACGAGAGACAGACAGACAAAAAAACAACAGCGCAGCCGCCGTCGCTAACTGAAAGCTTTATCTTACACTCGTTCCATTATCAAAACGTTTCAAAACGCGCGCGCGCTCTCACTCGCGCTCTCGCTCTCTGGCGCTCTCGCACACTTACGCACGCACACCAGCAACCCGCTCACAATAACAACAACGTGCAGCCGGTTTTTGACTGTAGTTGAGAAAACAAATTGATAAATTGCACAGAGGTTTTGCTCGAGCTTACATTTAAATTGTAATCAACGTGTTGAGTGTAATGCTCCACTGTAATTTTACAGTATTTGCAACATTTATTTGCTCTCATTGCTGACAAGCACGAACTCGGCCCAGCTCGGCTGAAACCCGCTCACGTCTAGGTTTAGGCATTAACTAAATCCACTTGCGAATGTCTCTCTGCATTGTTTTTTTTTTTTTTTTTTACTTACTCGGATCTCTCTTCATATGTGTGAGCAAACGTTTGCCTCGGAAACGGAACGAATCGACTGCATGCTCTCTCTCTCTCCATTGCGCTCTCGCGCTCAAAGGCTTACGTATTTAACAGCGTAGCTAACATTAATTGCGGGATATGGAGCCTTTTAACAGTGCGCTGTGAGCACTTAACAGCAGCAAGTGGCTATGAATTTATCAGTTGCTGTTGCCGTTCCATTCCGATTCCGATTGCTGTGACATTGTTCTAGCAAACATATTTACTTATTAGTGCTGCTAACTGTTGTCTTAATGTTTGATTGTATGTGAGCATGATTATTTGTTTCGCCCAGACGCTTGTCTAAATACAATTAATACATGCAGGTGTCGCTGTTGTTGTTGCTGCTGCTCAGTTTCACTGTTTCACTGTCACTGGTTGCTGTTGCCATCGCCTCGCTGCTGCTGCTGCCGCTGCTGCCGCTGCTGCCGCTGCTGCCGCTGCTGTCTTGAGCCGCCGTGCAAAGTCCAAGAAATTAAAGTGTCAGACAGCCGCAGTCGCTGTTGAAGGGCTGTGCGGGGGCGACGATGGCAGCGGCGGCGCGGGGCAAAACCGCACGTTAATTAAGTTTATTTATGCAGCAATTTTTTTTTTCATTGTTGCCGCTGGTTTTAGTATGGTTTATTTATATTTTTTTTTTAATGATATGAATCACATGCGACATTCTCATTTGATTATTGCCCCAATGCAAAATATAAACCCTCCCCGTCGCCCAGATCAGTGGGTCGAAGTGTCTGGCCGATCGGTTACCCAGTCTGCCTTTTGTTTTTTTTCGAATTTTTTTTTCCTGTCTGCGGTTTTGTTGTTTGTTGGCTTTTTAAAAATAGCCGCAAGCAGGCTACTTAAATTGTATTAACGCGTCTATAAATTGTTAACGTTTGGCCTTAATACCCAGAGCCAAGAAGTGGGCGTGTGTATGACTTTAAGTAGGCAAGTAGGCAAAGGATATGCCTACAAGCTGCCAGAGGCAAAAACGTAACATAGGGTATACTTTAGCTTTGCTGAAGCATTTGGGATATATGTATATGGTAACTAGGTAACTTTTTATGTACCGAGAAATTAACAGCTATATTCTCGCTTTATACTTGTCTAGGAAATACAATTCAATTTAAATAAGATATAGAATAAAAGTGTCCCTTAGATTTATTCGATCTATTTAACATCTTACATAAGTATCTACCACATACATACGATCTTATTTACAGCTTACGTTAAATATATAATATATATATTTTGATTAAATAACAGTAAAGCCTCCTTAATAAAATTGAAAAAAAAAAAACATTTTTGTTGTATCAAAGCTTAAAATGCCATTGAAAGTATTTAGAAACATTTTAATGTGGTATCTGCAGGTCGTGCACACTTAGTCTAAGCCTTACAGCTATATCTCTTGTATAATATTAATTTTGTTTATATTTTCTTTTGTTTGCGATGCTTTGATTTCTAAGAAATGCGCCTCGCAAGCCCCACGACCCGTCCCTAACCACAAAATTATCACAGTTTCAGCTTAATTTGTATACAATTTTTCCTTATTTTATTTTTTTTTTGTCTCTCTATTGCTCTGTGACGACAACAACAATTGAGACAACTTATCATGAAGTGCTAATTAACATTGTCTCGTCTGGTTTCTCGCCATATGCAGTACGCTGTCTGTTTGTCTGTCTGGCGACCTACCTGTGTGGTTACTAAGCTCAACTTGCCTGCGTGCCGTTCACCACCCCCAACAGCAGCCACCATCCGCCGAACCACAGACGAGAAAAAAAAAAAAACAGCCGTAACTCACCCAAAAAAGAAGAAAAAAACTGGCACTTGGTAGCGACGACGTCTGTGTTTGCTTTTGCTTTGGCGCACAATGCGAATGAGCCAAAAAAAGTACAAAATAAAAAAAAAGCAAATAAGAAACATTGTACATGCCAAAAAATACTCGACAAGTACAAGCACTGAGAGAAATTGCTCAAACAATTGAATAAATATAGAAAAATAAATATGAAAATAGAAATCTTCATAATTGAAATTTAGATTCATTCCAATTATAGGAATAAGAAAATGATATAAATATAATTAGGTTTGTCTTCGATCTCGCATGTTCTATCTTCTAACTTCTATCTTATCTTGTATAACGCTTTCGATCTTCATCTATATTATCTCTTCATCGTTAAATTGTCCCCAAGTTTAGTAATTGACATTAAGCTTGAATCTGCATTTAGGATGAATTATGAGTAAATGGGTTGTATAGCTAAAGCTTTATTGAGCTCTCAACTCAAGGATACTTTATTGTATTTTAATTGTATTTTAGTTTCAAGCTCTACCAAAAACTTTCGCACATTCAACTTTAGAAATGAAGTCTTCAATTTTCGCACAGTGTATGCATACATGCATGTATTTATTTTGAAACGCGGCCACAAACGGCGAGACATTTGTTTATGTTGATAATTTAATAAGAGCGCCGCTGGAGGCAAACGTGCGGGCTGTAAGAGGGGGGTGAAGAGGTGTGGCAGTGGCTGATGAAGAAAGGGGAAGGGCGGGTAACGCAAATTGGGAATGAGACAGTTGTTGCGGGCGTCACACGTGACGTATGCGCAATGCCCGACGCATGCAACTTGCCAAATGAGCGATTCGTTGCGATGCGATGCGATGCGATGCCATGCGATGCAATGCGATGCGATGGTTGCTGCACGTTAATTTGTGAGCATGCCAAGGTCGGGCTGTAGTTGTTGCTGTTTCGGTTGTTGGTGTTGTTGTTGCTGTTGTCGTTGTCTGCATTTATAAATAAATTCGCTGTGGCAAATAAATAATTAAATAGATATGCATACATTGTGTGTGAGTGTGTGTGTGTGTGTGTTGTTGCCGATCGTTGTAATTAAAGGCGTACATGTCGTATACGTAATTTGGTGTGTGTAAAGCCTCAGAAACGATCCTCGGCACCACAGCCACAAGAAAACAAGTACCATGCGCAGTCAACGTTGTTGTTGACACTTTTTGCTGTTAGTCATTATTTGGTTGTTGTTGCTGTTGTTGTTGCTGTACTCGATTTGTTGTTGTCGTTGTGTGATAAGCAGACTGTGTCGAGACAACAAAAGACGCAGACGATTGCCACTTGCGCACAAATATACAAAGTATGTCCACACACACACACACACACACACACACACATGCAGTCATATAGAGACACCTCTGTGTGTGCCCCATTGTTGTTGCTCTAATATATTTTTAGCTCAGCTACTTTTGAGGCAGCTGCAACTGCTCCGAAAAAGAAAGGCAAATGCCACAATTGCAGTTCGCAATTTGCTGCTCACATCTCTCAGCTCTCAGCTCGCAATACGCAATTGCATGTTGTCCCAGACAATGCGTCTAGTCATTTCGTCAGTCAGCCAGTCAGCCAATCAGTTGTTGCACTCGATAAGGCTGTCGCAAGCTCATTCTCTTCTTCTCTCATGAATCACATGATGAATGATTTTTAATGTGGCACTCGCTGAATGCATTGATTAGTTCTTCATATCAGTCAAAAAACGAGAGGAAGAAGAAGAAGAAACGTTTACATACTACACGCAAATGAGCTAACAATGGAGCAGCCAAGCAAGAGACAGAGAAAGAGTGAGAGAGAGAGTGAGCGAGGCAGAGAGGAAACGTGAGGGTTACAGTCTGGCAAATGGAATGACTTTAGCTATCAATCATAAAAGTTAAGACAACCCATTGTGTGCCTGGCAACAGCTGCAACAGGTTTATGCTTTGGAGTACTATGGAAGAATTTCATATTATCTGTACATAAATTTAGTCGCTAAGCATATTTATTAAAATACAAATATTATAAAGTTTAGTTAAGTTAGTTTAGTTAGTTAATATAGATAGTATGCCTATCTGATAATATAAATATAAAAACAATTTTTTTTCTTATATTTCAGTGTGTTTTGAAATACATCACAATGCAGTTTGATAAAATCAGGTGAGTCAGATATATATGTATATTTTATTTGTATTTATTTTATATGGGATTTTTGTTAACATTTTTTATTGTATTCAAATATTCACACCTAGCTTGTAAATTTAAAATGTTGTTTTTTTTTTTTTTTTTTTTTTTTTTGTGGTTTTTATGACTCTGAACTTATTTTTATCAAGTTTCATTGCTCATTTAGCAACACCGACAAAAGAATACATAATTTGCCCACACTTATATATTATTGTTATCTACAACGTTGTTCTACTTAAAATGTGCTATATACTGTCAGACTTGCACTCCATAACATTTACAGCACTGAGCAACATTGTCATGTTGTTTATCAACACTCAATTGCATCGTTAGTGCTCTTATCTATGCAATTACCTCACACATTGTCTCTTTTACTTAAACCCTTTGTCCACTAGAAGTCAGGACTCATTCGCTTAACTTTCTGAAAACATTTAACAACACTAAACAACAATGTATTTTATCTACCATCACTCGAAGGCACTGTCAACGTTGTTATCGTAGCAGAAACTCACATTTATGAACTTTCACATTTTATTGCACATGCATTTGCCAATCTGCACTTATTTAGGCTTCTGTGGCGTATTTACCAGCACTGACACGCGATAGTTACATCTGCCAAGTATATCAGATATATGTTTGACATTTTGTGTATATATACATAATATCAAAGCAATATTAAGCATATTCATTATTAATTTCCCAACATTTACAACTTTATAGTCGTTTACCAACACTCAAACTTCAGTAATATTTTATATTAGCTTCAATCGGGGCTTTCCTATGCTTTTTGAACTGGTAGTAAATCCTGTTTAACGACACTAAATAGTTTTTTGTACCATTTACCAACACTAGCTTTAAGCGAAAATGAAAAATTGAATGTAAATACCTTTAGAAAATCTTAAGGGTTTGTATATTTCTATATATGTATGTACTTTGGATCCACAGTACATTTTACACAATGGGCAACCTTTGCTAATG